TAAAATAGTAAGCAACATACACTCATCATTCGGGAGGGGCGGCTATCCTTGTCCCCAGGCCTGACGGGCTAGCCAGTTCTTAAGGGCTGTGCGGAAGGCCTGGACGGTGGAGAGGGTACGAATCTCCATGGGGAGCTCGTTCCATATTTGCTGCTCTGTCATATAAAATTGAGCTTTCTTAGTTCAAAATCTCTTAGCATGATAAATACTGAATTAAACATTTATTGTACTCGCGAAGATATTTTTAAAAGCATGTGATTTTTATATATTTAGATATGAGAAAGAGCTTTTGCTATAGAAGTTACAATGGAACATCTTGTGATAATGAACTGCCCTTTAATATTACCAAGAGAATGTGTTGCTGCACTTACAATATTGGGAAAGCCTGGAACAAGCTCTGTGAGCCATGCCCAGCTGCGGGGACAGGTAACAATTTATTTACATTTTCTTGAGCAATTTATATTTAAAGGATACATTTGAATGTCAGTTTGGTATCATGGTAGCTTTAGCATGTTAGCCTCACTTTCAATTTCACAGCAAGGAAGAAAGTAAATTTTAAATTTTTTCTCTGTCTCCAGTATTGTGTTTTTTCCATGTACAATTAAACTTGTTAAAAATGAAAATTCCAATTCTTAGATAGTAGTGAAAGAAAGCTGTCTTCCTTCAGTTATTTCTTTAATTATTTATTTGTTAATTTATTTGTGGCTTATCTCGCCATGAGGCTATCTAGGCAGCTTACAATAGTAAAACAGAAATGAAAAGAAATGTAAACCTAATAGTAGCTAAATAATGAAACAATAAAATAAAGAATAAAAATACAGTAATATGAGATTAAAAGATGGCTGGCTGGGATCAGGAAATGCGGGGTGAAGGTGGGAAAATTAGTAGCCACCTCCAGTGTGGGACTGCACCACTGGGTCCTAAGGACAATTGGCAGAGCCAGGTATCTTGCAGAAGGATAGAAGGGTAGAGGCAGATCCCTCCGTGGGGAGGTGGGATATTCGAGAGAGTAGGATTAATGCTTTCCTCTCCATTGCTGTATTTTGATAGGAAAATTGAATAATTTAAAAAAGGTAGGAATTCACAATTACCATCTCTTTCTACAATCGTATCTTGCAGTGTGTAATAAGTAGTTAACAATTGGATTATTTCGGCTGAAGTAAATATTCCTATAGGGAAGTTTATAATGCAGTATTTTCTTCAGAATTACTGGTTTTTACATTTCCTTTCTTATTGATGCTGGTGTTTCATTTGCTAATCCAAGGCAGGAAAGTATTAGATTAGTGATATGAAGCAACTATTTATTTTTTAAAAATATTGAAATATAATTATACTACTTTTAAAATAATGGTATATTTGTCTAAGTCTTGCAGTGAAATGTATTTATTTTCTTCAATATGCAGTTCTTTTCTGGCATATTAAGTATGTTATTTTAGTTAAATTAGGGAATGCTATCTTTGTTAATGTTTATAACAAATAAAGTAATTCATTTTTAATTATAAACAAAAAAATTATAAGTGGCTTGAACAAAGATAAGGAATGAAATATTATACAGATGTGAATTTGACATATCATAAGAACAATATAGAAATCCTCTGCAGTGGTTTTATGAGGTAATATATTGTGCAAAAATAATTCTTTAAAATTAGATATACTAATAAATTAATACCCTGTTTTCCCCAAAATAAGACCTCCCCAGATAATAAGCCCAGCCGGGCTTTTCAGCACATGCACTAAAATAAACCTTCCCCCCAAAATAAGCCCTTCCCAAAAATATTACAACACAGCAACAGCCATGAGGTGATCACGCTCACCATCTCCTGCACCTCAAAAATAATAAGACCTCCCTGAAAATAAGGCCAAGTGCTTATTTTGGGGGTCAAAAGAAAATAAGACCTGTCTTATTTTCAGAGAAACACTGTAAATACAATATACATATACAATCAGAAAGGTTATGTCCTTGTTGGGTTTATTCATATATGGAACATCACAAATCTGAAAAATAAGGTTGATTTCTCACTAATTTACCTTGGATTATTCTGGAAGTAATCTGTGTTTCTTCTCATATCAAATAACTCAGACTTTTTTTTCAAATCAGTTCAAAACTTGGATAATTGACAGCCATACAATAGCAGGGAAAGAACAGGAAAAAGCTTTCAGTCTTTAGAAGAACATGATGATTAAAGACAAGCTTTTATTTGATATGAATTTCTACAGACCTCTACAGAATTTTTATACCAGTTGATAGTTAATAATTAAATACAAGGATTGTAAAATAAAACTATGAAGTAATTTTAAAAGACTTCTAATAAAAATAAGTTTTTCTCCTTTTTGTTACTTAAGTTGAGTTCAAAACATTATGTGGAAATTTTCCTGGTTTCACCTTTGACATTCATACTGGAAAAGCAGTTGGTAAGTCTGAAAGCTGTGTGTTTTTTAAACTACATAATTAATAATGTAAGACAGTGATAAGCAAACCTCTTCTATTTTTAATTACCTTCTAAAAATCAAATAAATAATAAAATTCTAACTTCTGTTGCCTGATGTTTCAGAAATTACAATGTTTTCTCAAGAATATCTTCCCAAATTATATTTTGAAGATAAACTGAAGCTCATTCTGATATTTACATACATAGATATGCATGTGTCAGTCAGCCTAGCATTCCTCATTAAAATGAGTCATTTGAAAGAAAATACATCAACATACTGTATGTATCTCTGCATGTATTATTAAATACAATTATTAAAAGAGAAAAGCCTAGTCTGATTCTCTATACTTTTACTTTTTATGTATAATTTTTCTCAAAGCTTTAAAATAAAAGCATACTAGCATATGAACCCAATACATTTAATTAAGGAATGTTCATGTTTCAGATATTGATGAATGTAAAGAGATTCCAGGTATTTGTGCAAATGGTGTTTGCATCAACCAGATTGGAAGTTTTCGTTGTGAATGCCCCACAGGATTTAGCTACAATGATCTGCTCTTGGTCTGTGAAGGTGATGTACTTTCTTGTAAAGCCTGACCATTACAGCAATTATATGTGTTTTAAGCTGATGCAAATGACTCGGTGTATGCATTGACAACTGTCTGCAGATTTTATACACTTGCACTGGCAAATTACCATTATCTCCCAATCATCTACTGTGTTTGAGTGGGCCAGAAAAAAAATGCACAAGATGAAATACTTGTGGAATGTCAGTGCATATCCCTCCATAGTTTGGAACTTTGTGAATGTGTCCTTAAAACAGTCAAATTGTTAAAATATATGAGAATGTTAATGTTTGTTGAAAAGATAAAAGGAAGGTTGTCTTTGAAAAATAGATTTCATTTCATTTCATTTCATTGAATTTCTGGCTTGGTGTGTGCCAGAATATTAGTCTTTAGACTGTTTGTTAAGTTTTTAACCTTATTATGGGTTACAATTCTTTTCCTAATATAAAGACACTGTATTTTGATATATTTCACAAGGTAATATTTCTCCTGATAATTTGATTTCCTACTTAGGAAAAAAAGAGAACAGTGACCCTCTATAAGCAAACATTATGAAATGTTATGTTGATTTTCTTATTGTTTGCTATATTATAAGCAAAATAATAGATTTATTCAATAATTTTTAATACTGATAATCTTCTATTACTATCTTTATTTATTATTTTAAATATATATTTGGGAACATACGTATTGCCTTTCAGATAATGTTGTGATATTTTAATTAACAAGTAAATTAAAATATTTATGTGTTAATAACATATAGGTAGTCTAAAATACTAGGCAGATATACATAGATCCGAAATGCATTTAGGTTTTAGATTTCAGCTAGATTAAAATGAATGGAATATAAATATCCTTTGCCTGATACATATTCACTGTTCCTTGTTCAATATAGGAAATATCTGAAGATTTCATTGTGATAAAACACATAAATTGATTCTTAATCATGGATTATTGATGTTACAGATATTGATGAATGTAGCAATGGTGATAATCTCTGTCAACGGAATGCAGATTGTATCAATAGCCCCGGTAGTTACCGCTGTGAATGTGCTACGGGTTTCAAACTTTCACCCAATGGTGCTTGCATTGGTAAGTAGTCAGTTTTGATTAGCATATTGCTTAATTTTCATTTTAGTTACATATTTTCCAGTTTTCTATACTGAATTTGCATTTTATTCACCCTTTTTAAAATTCATAAATGGAAAAATGTAAGAAAATTGGTGTTGTAATTTCCTTCAGTATAGCTAATATATTGATTTTAACATGCACAGAAAATAAAGCTTGTTCAAAGATTGCTGATTCAGAGAATATAGCTTTTTCAAACAACAATTTTGCCCAGGGAGTAAGCTTTGACTCTAATAATCATTAACAGATTCTAAAAGTGGAATTATGAGTCAATGATAAATCATAACACCATAGATAAATATATGCATCATGTGTTTTATGTTTTGTTTTAGATCGCAATGAATGTCAGGAAATACCTAATGTATGTAGTCATGGCACATGTGTGGATAAAGAGGGGAGCTACTACTGCATCTGTCAAAATGGTTTTAAGTCATCCCGTGATCAAACAATGTGTATGGGTATGTGAAGAAATATATAAAATTCTTATATTATAGTAAATTAAAGTATTGCTATGCTGAAGATAGGATGGCAACAGTAGAGTATAATAGGGGAGTATAAGTTTTATATGCACAGATGAAATGTAATAACTAATATGCCAAGCTTTGTTACTTACCAGAGGTACAGAGCTTACAACTGTCAGAATCCCAGATAGACAAATATTGGTTAAGACTCTATTATATGAATAAAATCAAATAACACTATTGTAACCGAACATCAATTGCCATGAGAAGATCAAAATATTGATAATACCCAGTTACACATTCTGACATAACTATGAATCTAGCTAAAATTATGTCTTGGTCTTTGGAGGATTTAAGAGAGAGGAATGGGCTTATCCTCAGTTCCTACAAGCTGTAATGACTATGGATGCAGAAATTAATACCGTAGTTTCTAATAGCATAGTGTTTTTGTGTTCTCTCACATGAAGCAACTAGGCAAGTTATTCTTGGTCTCATGATTCCTGCTAGAAGAGCAGGTGGAGACCTTGACCTTTGCACAACCTCATATTGTACACCAACTGCAACCATTCCTGTGTCAAGAAATTTTGCAAAAGACCAGTGCATGAAGCTATCCTAGAAGACCATTCAGAAGTTATTTTAATTCAGAATGCAACAAGTTGAGTAGCCATTGGAGTATCATGGTCAGTTCATATGACCCCACTAGTTAGGGAATATAAATAAATAGGGTAATAATTAGGGAATAAATATAAAATGGCAAACAGTGACCAAACACACTAATAAGAACCATAAGGAGGTCCATTCAATTTCATCCAAACATTTTAATATCGCAAAGCTTAAAAGAGGGAAACTGGACCCTACCATTCTCATGAGAGAGTATGGATTGGGTTCTTGGGAGAAGGCACTATTGCAAGTAACTCAGTACTATGCCATGTAAGGCTTTAAAGTGATAGCGCAGCTTATAGAACAGCAATGTTACATGGATGTAATGATGCCACCCTGTGCCACTGCACTCTGAACCAACTAAAACTTTCAGATGGTCTTCAGGGCAGGTGCATATAGAGCATGTTACAATAATCCAATTAAAAAAAACCTAAGTATATAAGTATAGCATCCCAAGCTAGCAACACATGAAACTGGCATACATAATATAGTTGTGGAAAGGACCCACTAGCCATAATAGCTACCTGCTCTCTGAGAAATCCTAGATTGCACAAATCTGAATGGGACAGTACCACTCTATTCAGAACCAAAGTCAAAAATACCCTAGCTCCCAGATCCCGGGGATCCAAATCAGTCTTAGAAGGCTTCAGCATTTGTTGAATCACTGATACTACTCTAAGAAGCAAACTGGTGGATGCTTCTACAGCCAGAAATCCAAAAATTGGAAACCTTCCAAATATACTGCTCTATAGGACTCTGACACTCCATTGAGAGACCACATAATAAATGACACCATCTGTCAGCAGTGTTGCAATTAGCCAGCAATAGCGGATGAAATCCAAAAAGGAGCTGAGATCATTTGCTCTCCACAAGTACCCATAAATTACTCTGGAAGTCATTACCTCACAGATAGAAAGTTCAGTCCAGAGATTCTACATAAGGCAAATATAAATAAAGGCATAAGGCAAATAAAAATATGCAAGTAATACAACCCATTTATACACTAGATTTGAATCAAGCTAAAACCTCAATGAAGTGAGATGAGGTGGTGCAGTGGTTAAATGCAGCACTGCAGGCTACTTCAGCNCACCTGTAGTCTTTCTTTTCATTAAACTAGACACACCGAATTCCACCAACCTTTCTTTATATGTTTTAGCCTCCAGTCCCCTAATCATTTTTGTTACTCTTCTCTGCACTCTTTCTAGAGTCTCCACATCTTTTTTTATATTGTGGTGACCAAAACTGAATGCAGTATTCTAAGTGTGGCCTTACCAAAGCATTATAAAGTGGTATTAACACTTCGCAGGATCTTGTTAATGCAGAACTGTGTTGGCTTTTTTGGCAGCTGTAACTCTCTCACAGTTACTACTAATGAGCGAGGTACTCCTTAAAAATATGAAAGAGAATATATTTTTAGGTTTAGTATCTAGGTTAGGTGGAAAAACAGCCTGAGAATCATAGCCAGAGCTTCATAGCCATTACAATAAATAAGCTGTTCTTTAGCTTTTTTAGGGAAGTCTTATTGGATTATTTTCTAAATGCATTTGTGGAATACCTTTCTATATTTCTATACATCTCCCTACCTCCAAATTATTTCCTTCATGGTGCAGAACATAGGAGGCATAACTGGTGTTCTACTTTCCATCTCTGTTCTGGTGCTCTTAGAGCTGTAGCTAGAAAAACCAAATGCTGTTTTCTTTGGGCTCATTACCCATAATATACTTCAAATGACTATAGAAAGTTCCTTTTGATAAATACATGGATACTGAAACTGTAGACTGTTATTTTGATTTAGGGACTTGGAAGTGTACTGTGTGCAAACCAAACTAGGAATTACCTATAGTCAATTTTCCAACATTTTGCTGATAAACATAGGCTAATTTATAAAGCCTAAACTTTGTTTCACAAGCTTATGGAAATAATGAAATGAATTTATTGCATCTTAATATGAATGGAGCACACAAGGGGCTGTATGAGTAAAATATATCATTATCATTTTCAATATCATATCTTGAAGATAGCCAGTATATAATAAATGTGATTCATTCATTCGTTCATCCATCCATCCATCCATTCTGCCTTCAACCCAGTAAGAATATTTATGGTGTTAACAACCTTATTAACAGATTTTAATTTACTTAATTGGATTTTAACTGAAATGATTTCCTAAGTTTAGTAATAGTGATAAAATTAGAACTTAGAATAGGTTACCATAGTCATATGCTATTTATTTGTTTGTTTAATTTGTTCATTGCTGCTCTCTACAGTCTCATTTTAATGACATGCTTATCAACACCTCTTTTTTTTCTTTTGTTCTGTCCAGATAACAGAGTTGGCAACTGCTACTTGAAATATGGACCAAGGGGTGATGGAAGTCTGTCCTGCAGTACTGAAATTGGTGTTGGAGTCAGTCGTTCTTCTTGTTGCTGTTCTTTGGGGAAAGCCTGGGGATATCCCTGTGAGACATGCCCACCTGTAAATAGCAGTAAGGAAATGACTCTGTTAGATGGGAGGACAAATAACTAATATAGCAAATAATATGGCTATATACATAAGCCATAAGGCTTGCTCTAAACCAGTGCTTATGAGGAATCAAGCATTTCTCTGAAGTGATACATCAACTTGTCAAAGTTCCGTGCTATGCTTCTATCACATGTCAAATTAATCCTCATGACTTGGTTTTATTCTTAATTGTTTTATTTAATTCCTAGGTGAATATAATACCTTGTGTCCAGGAGGCGAAGGCTTCAGACCAAATCCCATAACAATTATCTTAGAAGGTATTTCTGTTTCTTTCAGTATAACCACCATAGGTTTTGCTGACAGTGGTCAGATTTAGTCAATTATCTATAAAAAGGGAGATTTGCAAATTGAGGTTACAGAGAAAGTACTTTCAAGTTTAGAATAAATTTACAATCACATTTTAAAATATAGATGGGGAGATTGATAAAAGTTCATGATGATAATTCAACCTTCTCCATTTATATAATTTTTCCACCAATTCATAATTTCCTTTTGGAATGCTGAGGTCCTCAGAATTTCTTGTTGGATTTGGCAAGAGTTACTGTTAAAGGGGAATAAGGACGTTAATATTAGTTGCCCAAATTTTATTACTTTTGATATCGCTAAGGAATTTCCATCTTTACTTCAGAAAAAGAATAATTAGAAATATGAATTGGCAACTCTGTACTTGATTATTTGTTCCTGCTGCAAGACAAAAAAAGGCTGAAAATGAAAAGTTACTGAACATGTATTAAAATCTACTGCAAAAAGTCTAAGATTGGTTAAATCAATTTAATAAAGGCAGAAATTAATAGGAAGTATGATTTAATTGTAATGATTTTGTTAGGAGAATCAAATTTGCTCAGTATTTTAATATTGTACTTAATATTTTTCCATCCAAAATTATGAGAGTTAATTATTCTCTTAACTTTGCATGGGTAATCATTTATTTGCAGCTGCCCTACCCCCAGATCTCTGTAATAACAAAAGTAAGCAGATTTATAATAAAAACTAAAAGCATAAGTTAATGATTTAAAAGTCGTCTTTCATGTAATTTTTATCAGCCAAGAAACATGGCCTTCTTTTTCTTCGCAGACATTGATGAATGCCAAGAATTGCCTGGTCTATGCCAAGGTGGAAACTGCATCAATACTTTTGGCAGCTTCCAATGTGAATGTCCCCATGGGTACTATCTCAGTGAAGAAACACCTATCTGTGAAGGTGAAAATTCTTATTTTTCGTTACAGCAGGAATGGAAAAACAATATTCTTAAGCAATATTTTGTCCCACAACCATTTTCCTCTTGAGAATATTCTATATATATTTAATGTGGAGTCATAAATTAAAGCTTGTGGGTTCTAGCTATTCTGCAGATCCCATTACTGAATTTCTTATAAATAATAGAAATTTAATCCTGACTTCTTTGTATTCTGATATTAACCCAAATAACCCAATGGGATACAAATTATGTCCTTTCCCATGAATTATTTTTTCAAAAATAGGTTCAAGCAATAAGTTCAAAAATGTATTTAGGTCACTGTCTTACACAAAGAAAGACAGATATTTTAAATAATTTAAGAAAGATTCAAAGGACTTAAAATTCTTAATTTATAGTAATTGCAGTATAATTCACTATAAGCCACAATTGATGTACTTAAGTTTAACCTATTAATATACAAACTCTAAATTGATGTTATTTGATTTAAATTCAGAATGTTGATTTCTTTTTTTTTTCTGTTTTGAAATAATGACAACTTGATCTATGTAGGTAGTTCTTGACTTAGGATCGATCGCTTAGCACTCATAAACTTACAACAGATCTCCCCAAAGTTACT